TTGCCGGTCATCGGGCAAGATCGCGGTGATCGCAGCATAAGCAACGAAATTGCTGATAAACCGCAGATATAGAAAGAAAATAACGGTACCGTTCTTGGAGCAGGTCAAAGTGAAGCACTTCAAGACCCGACTAGAAAGTTCATTTCAACGTCCCTTCCTATGCCGTCCTGTTCCACTTGTCGTCCTTGACGTTATTGAGAAAATCATCGAATTACCCATTGCCATAACGGCACGGTCGATCGCTGCAACCAGCGCTCATTCCTAGGCCGCAAGAAGCTTCCTTGGGAAAAAATATGCACTTTCTCGTTCAAAAACTATCTGAAATTTTATTCTGAGGTAACATAATGATTTTTCTTTTAGCCGCTCTAAATGATCCTCGTGGTGTTACTCACCACAGGAAGTGGACGGGGTATTTGAAGGGCTCCTTGCGCAAAACACAAGAATCACTCTTACAAAACCCTGGGTATGAGGACTAGGGAGGGAAGCTTCGGCATGTGTGGGCCAAGTAGAAGTACAGTTATAAGCATCCACGTTCGACCCTCCATGAATCTTGGCATATTGTGAGCTTCTGTCTAGGATATTACTGTAGCCGAACCAAGATGATACAACAGTTTTATTTGGCTTAGGTCAGCTGAACCCACCCATGGGGAGTCAGTTTAGCGGTGGTCTCGAACAAAAACCTGCCGTACATTCAAGGTGAGTCATGTTGTGGTTGTAACCTATGACAGGTTTCTGGACCCTTCTGGTCTGGGGTGAACTTACCTGAGGTTTGAAATGATGTTTGAGGGATAGTTTCACCCTGATCTTTGATTTTTCCAGGCTCTGACGAAGGCGATAAGGCCGAAACGTAAGCCAAATAAAACTGTTGTATCATCTTGGTTCGGCTACAGTAATATCCTAGACAGAAATACAATTACTTTATTACAAGAACGGTGCTCCCTTTTTTTGAGCAAGGAGCTCTAGAAATGTCCACAATCTCTCCTTCCTGACACCCCCCCCCCCCTAAGGCCGCGTTCATACATGGCCGAACCACGGAATGTGCAGAACTGCGGAATTTGCAGACGTGTGGAATCTGCAGAACCGCGGAACTTGCAGAAAAAGAAAATATGTCTATCGATTTCAAAAACCGTGGAATATGCAGAAGTGCGGAATTTGCAGAAATGCCGATGGACCGATCGATCCCTATCAAGGACGAGTGGAAACAAGGGTCAGATGTGTGCCGAGGAATCCTCAAGGTGGGTCGTATTCACCAGCTGGGAGAAGGATGTGGAGTATGAACTCTTTGGTATTTTGTGTTGACCATGTCGCTGCCAACGTGCAGACGTCATCCTAGACATCACCTTTCTGTTTTTTCGGAGCAGGGATGTACCGAAAGTACCGAAACTTCTGTCGAGGGCGTAGTGGGGAACGAGTCGTAGGGAAAGACCAGTTTCCCTCGGAGACCGAATTGATCCTGAACCTCCGGCAATGTCACTTCAAAATTCAACTGTCATCGATGTATATCCCAGTCGGGAAAAGCCAAAGAATGCGCCCAGTGGAGCCAGTCGACGAAAAAGCCAAAGAATGTGCCCAGTGGATGAGTAACCATGCCGCACTTTGCTGTTTTACCCCTGCCGTGCAGCGCCTGGTTGTTGTCGTAAACACATAGAACATCAACGACTGCAACATGTGGTCAACACATGCCGTCCATGTGTTTTTTGAAAGGTCGACACGGCACAAAATGCAAAGAAATCGACGAGCAATTAGCCGATTACTCGAGGAATGAACGCAAGGGAGGGCTCATCAAATCAACGGCAAAAGTTGCCCAAAATACGACCCACGCTCCTTTTAAAGATCCGTCGAATGGACTAGGTAGGTAAGCACTCGATCCTCTGCTGAAGATAGAGAAATTGCGCTACGGCACGAAAAGCAGAGATACCCACGAGCAATCAGCCGACAACTATACATGAGACAGACACATTACCATAGGTATGCTCGCTGAAATACGACCCCCCCCCTCCGAAAACAAATTCGTAGAACAATGGCGGATGGACAGACGACCAGTCGCCTCTCTAAGGTAGGCAGAACTGTGTGCTTCTCGTGGTCAGGATCCTTCTCCCGAAGCTAAGGGATAGACCCCTTTCCCTAGCTACTCAGAAAGCCCCCCCTAATAGGCTAGAGATTCCTCACCCAATTTCTCATTCCTCTTCCTGCACTGTCTGGACCTGTACTCGTCAGCATAAATAGGTTTAAAAACGACCAATGGCTAAGACCGCAACAAGCCTCCCCTCCCATCTCCAAATGTCCCAGAATACGATTATGGGAAACCCCGATTGATGAGTTGCATTGCCAGGAGAGGTAGGGAAGTTCTCTAGTAACCCACGAATCTGGTAAACCTAGAACCTCATCCTGGAGCCGTGATCCTGCGCCATTTGGTGGGAGCCATGACCAAGCGGTAATCTGTCCAAGGGCTAAAGATGCCCTTCAACAGGATCCAAACGAAAATATTCAACAATCCACAGTTGAACTGTAGAGTGATAATTCTTGATAAAAAGATGGGATAAATGGAACCCTAGAGGAAAGTGAGTCCAAAGAGACCCGGAAAACCCTGCAACGAACAACAGAAACTTGAAAGAGAGAAAAGATGTCGATATGAGTAGAAAGGAAGTCTCGCGCTCTTAGGGAAAGTATCCCAGAACCTGACGTTAGTCATCTACCAATCAATACGGCAAAACCCGTTCTAAAGTGCTTTCTTTGAACCGATCGATAACGTGAAACTTGCTCGAACACACAAAAGAGGTTCCAGCAGAACAGAAACAAGGTCTGAGGCCATCCTTGACGCCACCAAACAAGCAGCTGAGGATAAATCGATACGATTTCCGAAATCAGTCGATAAAACATCGATTTCCCATGTCACCACCACCTTCTCAATCAATTTTTATTTAATATACAATGAAATCTATATTGGCATTCGATCAATATGCATAATTTCACACAAGCGTAAAAAATCAATAAAACGTACAAAAGACAAGCACTTATTATCACATTGAAATTTGTCACTGGGATAGATTAGTAATTTTCTTTAAGTGACTGGGGGTTAATCACAATCGCTTAATCAGTTGGATGGATCAATCGAGATCAAACCTAATGACGTCATCGGCGGTTATGAAGCATACTGTAATTCTCAGGGCTATCACAAATGGTAGATGGACAGCACCGACAGGGCTAGGCTTGTCAGCACACACAGTCCGCTCGCGTGATCGGGATCTTCATCACTGAAATTGAGACCATTAGTAGTGAAAATGTAGTCTTGGCCAGCGGTAAAACACGACTAGCTGGTTCGTAAATTTATGCCCCGCCCATCACTTCACCACTTCAGCCGCTCACAGCTCTTCTAGTCACGCTAACTAGCTCAGCACCTGACAATCGTAACAAATCCATGCAGTCAACAAAAAATCATAGGCACATTATTCAAATAAGAATGGCCGTGACGAGATTTACCCCCTCGCTAAAATTAGCAGCGCGATACTAAAGAACTTTAAAGCTCAAAGTTATAGGAGTTGCCAGTGAATACAGTGGAATTCTCGCTTCCAAGCCCTAGATATAACTGCACCGGTACTCCTAGAGGAGAAACCATTCACAGCTTCAAGCCCTTTTGGGGCCACTCTAGCGGTTCATAAAAAGCGCGCAGACTCATTGCTGACGAATATTATCGTAGGTAACAAATAAAAAAATACTTGAAACCGGAGAGACCACCTGTAATCCACAAGACAGTGGGACAGAAATTCCCAGTTCGAGGGAACAGCTGCCCGATAGTTCCGCTGTGTGTTTAATTGTGGTTTCCCGAGTTTCTATCCTTTTAGAAGCCGGTTCACTCCCCCTCCCCTCCTCCCCCTACAGCATCTGTCCATGTGATGCACGAGTTCATACATTGACTCCATCCGCCTGCGCACATCGCCGGCGCACGCTTCGAGTGTGGTAGGAGAGTTTCCGCTAGTAGAGTCCTGGATACGGTAGCAACGCGTTCGCGACTGCTTTTAACCAATGAAAACATTGGCGCAACCAGTCGGGGCCTTAGCGACACACTTACTTACAGGCTCACGTAGTCCAGCCAAAGTTAATGTTTCTAAGCAACCCCTATGCAGCCTGCAAATCGAAACCATAACCAATCAGAATTACCTTTGCCGGCACAAAAATACTCCAAAAAGCAGCCACTCATTGTTAACTTTGTCTTGCAGTAGCGTAGAAATGAATGAGACGTCACAGCCGATCTCAAAATAGTCATGTGAAGTCGGGATATTATAAAGCTAAAACCCCTCTCCGTTATAACTAACCAGACCCACGTCTACTCCGAGCCAAGCCAGGCACGCTCAGAAGCGCCACTTTTCCTTTATCTATCGTGAATAACAGACATAATGCTGGCACATTAGCCCTCTCATCTACCCATATAACTCGAGAGCCTGAAGATCTGAGATGCCTTTACTTCGCGCTAGAGTGGCGCTGAAAAACATGCTCACTCGTTGCTAATATGTTTCGTCGTAGGTAATAAACCCAGAGTGTTGAAATCGGAGCAGCTGTGCATGAGAAGCAGGTAGTGTCCTACTTGAGCGGTGCTGTATGGGGATAATTTGATACCGTAATTGCGGTAAACACCTTACTGTACTGTAAGTACAAACAAGACGGTCTACCAGTGAATTCTCAGCAGACTTTATCGGAATCTAGCCAAACTTTCTTAACGACAGATTGAGATCAACTCTATGCACTTCCTCACCCATGAAACCCGGTTTTTCATCCCAACATGAGCCGTAAAACTGCGTAGATTTGACGAGGCCTTGGGATAACGAAAACTGAGGGATCATTCGAGCTTTGCGAGGTTATTACACAGCGTGTTGTATAAAAGCTTGATTTGAGAGTTCAGGAGGCACTCATGACTTTTATAGTGAACTGCAGTCTCATAGGACTCTCAGTCGTCACCTCGGTGGCGCTAATCTTCGTAGCCATGACCGCTGTCGGTCATGTAGTCCTTGACCTCAAGAACTTCTATGATGAATCCCTCCTGAATATTGAGGACTTCAAGGTGAATTTTCGACTTTTGCGATTTCCAATTAGTCACTTCTTCGGTAACAAAAATCATTTTAGGACGTTGCCAACGACGCCTGGGCTAAGATGGTCGGAATGGAAAGAGGAGCCAGATTTGCTCGCAGCGCAACGAGCAATGGCCAGATTATTGTACCGGCTTCAGTAGAGTGCAACTGTGGAGCTCAGCCAAACAACTGCCCTTCTGGCCCTCCAGGACCACCTGGAGAACCAGGAGATGCTGGCATTGATGGAGATAACGGACAAGATGGTGCACCTGGTAAACCTGGCATCAGCAATGGAGGAGGAAGCAGTTACGACACAGCGTGTATAAAATGCCCTCCTGGACCGCAAGGACCTGCAGGACTAGACGGCCCACAAGGACCACCTGGTCCAGACGGCAAGCCAGGCAGCGATGGAAAGGCTAGATACATCGCAGTCCCGGGAGAACCGGGGCCAGTTGGAGACCAAGGCCAAGCTGGAGAGCCGGGAACACCAGGCCAACCGGGGAAACCTGGACAGAACGGCAAACGAGGAACAGGACGCCCAGGACCACCTGGACCACCAGGGCCACAAGGAGAGCCCGGTCAACCGGGACAAGATGGTGCCACTGGAGAAGACGGATATCCTGGAGAAGAAGGACCGGAAGGACTTGAAGGACACAAAGGCTTGCCAGGTGAAGACGGTAGCCCTGGAGCTCCTGGTGATGCAGGTAATCCGGGCGATAATGCCGCGTACTGCCCATGCCCTCCAAGAATATTATTCACTGTACCACCTGACGCCGCTGTGGACGACACACAGGGGCAGGGCACTTATTGGAAAATTTTATTCTAAATTGTAATCTAAATTATTGAATTAACTTAATCAAGTTTTTAAGCCGTAAATTATTTGCAGCCATAAATAAATATTAACTTGTTATGCGTTTGTGGCACAGTGAAATGACTACCTTGCAATACGCCACGCACACATTTTCCCACCTCGTTCACCGCAGTCATTGGATGGTTAAAAATCTACATTTCAAGAGGTGGTCCACCGGATGTCCATGGGCAGGAACACATAGTTTTTTTGTGGGCTATCTCCTTCTCCTCAGCATTCTAAGAGGGACCATGAGCAAGGCAGAATGGTTTTCTGCTCCGCCCACTCGACCAGCGTGGACTGCGTCCAGAGGCTAGGTTCTGTGCTCGATAATACACGGCGCAGCAGGCAACAACAGCTCTCTAAAGAGTTTTTTCAGCTACATTAGAAAATAGATCTATATTAGACAGTTATTGGAATTATTCTGGATGAATCGCTCCTCAGCCCAACTCCTTCACGAGGCCGTCTTTGACCTCTACTTATTTCACGTACTTCCTATTTGCTAGTCAATGAACAGTTGCAGAAAAAAATACTCGTAACTCCGAGAAGTCCGCGAGACTCTACCACTAGACTGTGCCTAAAAATCCCTCTGCTCGAATACCCGGGGCCTCCATGACGTCCTTCGAAGGTGACACCAACAAGAGACCAGTGCCGCCATAGTGATGCCGGCATGATTCTCGCACAAACGGTCACCAAATCAGTTTTTGGCGAAAGTCTGCGATTGCCTTTGACAGTCAGCATCCCTGTGATAATTTCAGAGTTTCACTCTCAGGGCCGTCGGCACGTCGTACGTTGGGACCTCCATTAAGAGGGGGGGAATTTTAGTCACCATCGGAGGAGGCCATATTCACCTTCAGAAATTTTTGTTTTCAGTTGTCGACTTTTCTGCAAATTCTCTCGAGCCAAGGCGTGCCCTGACTACATACTAAAGATGAAGACGCACAGCAATTCTACCGGAGACATGTGACGTACGTAAGTCTCCGCCCACCGGTGTGAAGGTCCACCCATCGTTTGACTGACTTGTTTCGTACCTTCGTCGATTTTATGGTTATGTGCCCTCTTGTCATGACTTCGTGTGGCCCCTCGTCCGCATTTCAGTGCCTCTTATCCCTAGTACCAGCCAAATGCAAAACCAAAGGGCCTCCTTACCTACCTCGTTAAATTCCCCCACCTTAATACCACTTTTGCAGAGGTTTCTCCCAAAAATCCTTCACTTTTCCCGATACCTGCCTTCGAAGAGGGGGGAGGGCTGTATGGCGCACTAGAGACAACAAGAAAAAAGACGAGAAAACCTCCAAAAAGGCAAATGTGACTCATCTCTTCTCCCTTTAGCGACCGAAGACCCCTCGCTGGGGATACCTAAAGTAAAGCGTGTAAGGTGTTCCTCTAAGTTCCTCTCTCTGTTCCTCTCCTCTTTGAGATTTCGCCTTCTATATGAGCCTTTATCCCCACTATGGCGTAGCTCTGGATGCCCTGAGACGTTCTGAATCACCGTAATGGTTGTCTTTCGCCTCACAAGACTGAATGACGTAGGAGCCGACTATCTCAGCCTTTGATCTTTTCGCCGACGAGCCTTGAACGAACCCACCCCGACGGAAACTTGAACCGCGGCCCTTGCAAGCTGTTGTTGAATTCCCGACAATGCATGGAATCCGTCAGATCCACTCAAGCGGCGCCCTATCATAGCCGTGTCATCGAGTTTTATGCACCGAACGGCGCATTTAGAGTCCAGGAGAGAAAAAAACTTGCATGGCTATCGATGTGATATATAAGAGACCAACAGAGTCGTCCAAGAACGGACGAGATGTCGACAAAGGCTTTTGTGGCGTTCGCATCCGGTGCCAGTGCAGTAGCCATCGCGGCTGCTCTCATCTGCTTTGGCCTACTCCTTAGCGACATCAACTCGTTCTACGATGAAGCAGTCAACGATCTGGGAGAGTTCAAGGTTAGTACGGGAGGGAAAAGGCCACCAGTCATGAATTTATTGAACCACTCTAGGAATTCGCTGACGATGCCTGGAATACGATGATTCGAAGCAACAAAGGCGATCGTTTCGACTCCATCAGTGCGATTTTTGTAAGAGAAAAAAGGGGCTTCGGCTCCTGTAACTGCGGAGCCCAACCGAACAACTGCCCATCAGGACCTCCTGGACCGGCTGGAGAGAACGGAGCTCCCGGAGAAGATGGACCTCCCGGGACACCGGCGAGTAACGGCAACAAAGGCATCAGCATGATGGGAAAGCCAAACGAGCCCGTTGGGTAAGTGAATCTCTCTATTGAACCCCGGCTTTTCGAGGAAGTGTCTGAATCTTAATTTTTCCAGGTGCATCCAATGCCCAGTCGGACCTCCAGGCCCACCAGGACCAGAAGGACTCATAGGACTACCTGGCCCCGACGGCCAAAACGGCATCAATGGTATAGCAGGACACCATGGAATACCGGGAATCGGAGGCGAGCCGGGAGATCCCGGAGAGCGAGGAGTGCCAGGAGCGCCAGGTCTCCCAGGAGCTAATGGATCTAAAGGAACAAGAGGCAGAGGAACACCTGGACCCGCCGGACCAAATGGAATACCAGGAACTGCAGGAAACCCTGGAGCGGCAGGCCAGAATGGAAATGCAGGAGCACCAGGAGAAGAAGGCATCCCTGGACCTCCAGGACAGGACGGCCAAAAAGGTGAAGATGGACCACCTGGCGTGGAAGGTCCAGCGGGTCTTCCAGGTGGGGATGCCGAGTACTGCTCATGCCCAAAGCGAACCAGCGATATACTCGTCCATGCGTCGCAAGTCAAAGAGCAACAGCAAGGATACCGAGGTGCCCGATGAAAAATCATATAATGAAAATAAATTATTTATTGATTCGTTGAATTAATGTCTCCAAGACACCTAGGACACTTTTACAGGCGGATGCACCTTGGAAAAAAGGGCGGCGGGGAAGAAGTATTACACAATGTACCTCGTATGTGTAAAGATCACGCTCAGCAAGGGGGCGGAGACAGTCGGCCATTGGCTCTTAACCATTCGGTACGGTCGTAGGGCAAATCACTGAGAAAAACGCAAGCGTTAGGTGTCACCGCAGATCGTACTATCAGCACAGGCCGTCTAAGCACTAATCGATTATCGACCGACGTTACTCCAAGTATCTTCGATGGCGAGCCATACTTGCCCAAGGGTAAATGATTAAGCGAGAACCCCAGCAATGTGGAATGACTGGCGGAAAACTTGGGTGCCTGGCTGATGCGCCATGCATCTGTTCTCTTCAAAGAACGGCGGATCAATTGCAAGGTAGTTCCCTACTTACAATGAAACGGGAAATGTGGTCGGCCAGATGTTCACATGAAACGAGCTGCGGAAAACGAGATGGCCTTATTGCGCGCAAACAGAACCACCTTCGGACGCACGGGTTCAATAGAGTGCATGCAGGCTGCTACTGAGCCCTCAGTGCCACCTTTATGGCCACTTACAAGCGCTTCAAGCACCACAAACACGATTAATTCGCTATTTTCATGAATATAATGAAAAATGAACGTACTGTTCATCATGCTCGTCGCCATAGTCCCGATCTTCAGGCATTTCCTGAAATTCGTTGATATTGGTTTGTTGCGCAATCCACGATAATCGCTTAGCTAACTGGTTTTCAACACCCTTCTCATTAGAGTGCCACTAGTCTTTGACAGCTTAAGAGACTACCAATAAGAGCGCCACAGTCCAATTAACTCCGCCCATTTCATCAACGCAAATAGACAAGCTGTTCAGAAAGAAGCGTTCAAAATGCTGTGTTACCTTATCCTAGCCCCCCCCCACACTTCCGAAGAACAGAATGATCGTGGAAGCCGCACCTTGCCGTCGTCATCGTCGTCCATCTTCGGCTTCTTTACGACCTTTTTCTCATCTTCATCTTCATCGTCCTCAATTTTCTCTTTTCTTCCTCTCTTAGAGTCCTTGATCTTTGACACCTTTCCTTTTCCATCTTTCTTTGAAGGGGTAGAGTCTTCATCGGAATCGTCAACGCTGAGTTTCCTTCCTTTCTTCGTGTCCTATAAACGATTTGTAGCTGAAATCTGGACTAAAGGTTACAATAAGTTTGATCTGATCGATATTTCTTATTGATCGAGAACTATCAACGATATCTACAGTAGGAAACGTTCAGATCAGAGTCACTGCTCGCGATTATCGAGTGGGAACATTCATTCCTATCATTGCGTCTCCCTCTGATGCGCTCCTCCCCCTCACCGTCTCGGAAAGAGAGCGCACCAATTAGGGAAGCACAATGATTGACTACCTCCGCCCACCTCCCGCTCACACGATTAGCGTGGACTGTGCCGTGAACTAAGCCTATCCGCCTATCTTCTCCACACCTAACTCATGAACCAATTTGCAAATCCTAGTTGGTACTCTGGTTGCCACTACCTCTTCTGAATTGTCCTTGTTGTCCTTCTCATCGTCAGCCTCTACAACCTTCACCTTCTTCTTCTTTTTCCTTCCGTAGCCTCTGAGACCTCCTTGGCTTTCTTCTCGAACTGTTGCCTTTGCTTAAACGTCTGCAAGTATCGACTGTTTTTTAAATGGATAAATGTAAAGCGAAATAAGAAAGTCTTCTTAGCAACAAGCTCTCAAAAAAGGAGGTAATAAGGTGCAAGGGTAGTTTGTAAGGAGAGCTGTTGGCAGCGAAGACCTGCCCGCTCGCTGCTCGCCTGTGCTCTCCCAACGAGAAACAGTTTGGCGAGAATGGTTTCCTTTGGTGAAGGGGCAGACGAGGGAGTGCCTCAAGTTTGCTGCAATAGAAAGAGAAAGCCGCAAAGATGATGGCACTCAGTAGTCGGTCAAAGTAAGCTGGCTACAAGGACTCCAAAAGTGTGCACAGGAGACCGTAACCAAACCAGCTTAACCCCTGGACCACAGCTGCTGCCAGATCAGTCCAGGAAAATACGATCGCGATGCAAACAATGCAGAGCAGGCCAGAAAGCATTAACCGGGGCAACGTATGTAGGTGGGGGTAGCAACTCGGCTGCTG